GGAGAGGATGGGTGATGAGAGTGGAGAGGATGTGTTGAAATGATTTTAGGGTTTGGTTAAAATGATTTTATTCTATATAGATATAAAATTAAAAATAAAAAATGTTTTTAAAAATATCAATTAAAACCTGATTTTTGAAATGTTAAAATTTGAAACCTTATTTGTGAAATTGGAAATCTAAAAGCAGGTGTAGGTGTAATTTCCTCAAAAAAATACTAGCGTGTAGGCACAGCTGAATATATATCGCTCCTATTTGGTAACTCTAAAAAATTGAGTAAAATTTAAATCAAAATTAATAATTAATTTTGACCACATATTTCAAGCCCATTTAGCATGACTTTTGAAAAGCCAAAATAAACTTTTGACAAATTTTATGAAAGTGTTTCTGATAGTTAGAAGAGTTTTTACAAGTTGGTCCAATATGAAAGTGTGTTTAAAAATTAATTTCCAAACAAAGATTAAGCCCATGTTTGATAGTCATTAAAATTTTCATTCTCATTTTTCTACTCATTTTCAACTACACATTCTTCATTAAAATAATATTTTTCATCACATCAATAATTTTTTCTTCTTTTTCAATCATATATTCTCCATCAATCTACTATTCCAAAATACATTCTTCCAAAATAATATCTATCAAACACACCCTTACTTCAAAAGCTTACAAGGAAGTAAAAGCAAAAGTAACGCCAAACGAATGGACCACACTACTTTTCAATTAGGTTTAACTTTATCAAAATCTCCAGCAAATCAAATTTTAACATCTACCAAATATAGGCATAGACTTTCTTTGTTGTATTGAAGCCATTTTCTTTGGATTCTGTGGTGCCTACTCAAACGCATTAATATATAATTCTTGACGGAGTGCATCCCATCCACGAAATCCGGACAGAACGAGCCAAACAATGGGAAAATAAGCAAAGACCCGGTAGAAAGACTCCAATCAACATTGCCAATTTAGCAGCAAAAATTGTAAAAAATAAAAAAATAATTTAAGATTTGAACACTGTAAGCATACTGAAATTCATAGATGATTAGTTCTAGTTCTAGGAGGAAGCAGCATAGATCTACACAAAGGGCAAGTGACTTGACCCTCATCAATCCATGTATCTAAACACTCTCGATGGAATACATGGTTGCAGTTACAGAGCTCTCTAATCTCATGCCTTGATTCTACACGCTCTAAGCAAATCGTGCATACCTTTACCCCATTTTCGTCTTCATCTTCATCCAGCCCTAGCAGAAAATCACGGTAATTCACAACAGGAACTCTTTTCTTAATGGCTGCTGTGACCACGTGAACAGGGACTGGAACCAGAGATGGGGATAATCCGTCTAATATGAGAATATAATTGTTCGAATTGTCGGTGTCTGTCTCTTCCTCCGGCGGCGGTTTGTACAGACCCAGACGAGTTAGTGCCCCAATAATTAAGAATCTCACTTGGCTTAATATGTTGAAGAAGAATGTTATGGTTATAACCTTTGGTAGACTTATGGCATAATACAGAAACCCCATCGCTCAATTCTCCGCGGCGGAGGAGCGCTGTAGCAGTGGAGGAGAAAGGGGGAGGAATTTGTGTGTACTTAAATTACAATTACATATTCGTTTTCTTTTCGTCAATAAATAATCGAAAGTCTTCATTATTATTTATAGAGATGGCGACCACCAGGGGCATATTCGCTGTTGCTATTTTTATTTATTTATTATTATTGGTTTTTTATACAAAGGTGGGTTGATGGAAAGTAATTGGTACGTCATTATGATATTGTGAGTGTTTGTATTTATTTACATTAACCAAGTTTATTCGGAGTAATATTATTGGTTACATAATAGAGAATTAATCTCCTGTGGACGGATATCAGATCTGATACATAATAATGTACAAATATATCATATGAAAGAGGGATAAAAATTATAATAATAATTGAGTTTTTTTTATTTTTCCCTCTCTATTTCATAGCATATGTACACCATTATATACAAAATAATATACAAATAGTATAAACGAGTAATGCGTTCCACGTGTCATCAATAAGTTTATTGATTCAAAATTAGTTTGACACCACACTCATATTTTACTATGAAAATAAATAATTTTAGGCATTTCTGATCTGTCTATTAAGAAGAACATACGTGTTCTACTAAACTATTCGCACATTTTATATTGACTATTAGATTGACATCTCGATAAATTATGTATCAAGATTTATTTTTTGGGTTGTGCTAGATGTACACAGTCCATTACCTAATGGATTACACACCTCTCACATGATGGGAGGTCAACAAATATTTTATTGTGTGTGGACCCCCTCTATGTGAGGGAGTGTAATCCATTAGGTAATGTGTACGTTTAGACTAATCCATATTCTATTCATATTTAATTTTTTTTTTAGAATAAATCTTAATATTTCTCTATGCATAACTAAAAAATAAGGATTAGTC